GATTTCACGGAATCTAGATGACTATGTTGAATTTGGCACCATAAAGGTGGAGGTCTAAGAAAAAATCATAGTTGAGGGGGTAGATGTAATTATTCAAACAAGAGGGGGGTTTTTGTAATTTGACCATACCTCAGGGGGGTGTTTGTAATTTACCCTAATATTTTTCATCAATAAACCTTGCTACATTAGAATCTCAAATATTTTAATATTTCTAAAGTAAATTTCTTTAAGAAAATTATTTTTGTAAATATAAAGATATATCATTCTTTTTTTTTTAAATATAAAAGTATATTATTCTGACACCTGTGAGGCTGTGACAAATACAAGATGTATCCTTGAAGAAAATTGAAAAAAAAAAAGATGAATAAAAACGATAATAGCTATAATTAAATTAATATTCAAATTTTTTGAAGGCATTAATATTCAAATTTCAAGTGTCGACATTTTGATCAGGGAGACCATAACTTAAGTAACACGAAAATAAAAACTTAATAGTTTTAAAAAATACTGATATAGAAAAACTCATTAAAATGAAAATTGTTTCAACAATCACAATAAAATCAGGGAAAACATAATGTGAGCATGTATGAACTAATATATAGAAAAAAAATTTAGTTATTTTGTTTTATATTTTATATTCTTTTCAAATAATTTTTAAAATAATTATATTTTACCATTCATAGATACATAATAACAACATTAATTTTTATACTTACTTGATTTTATTTAATTTTAATTTACTTTTAAATATTACATCTAACTTTAATATTTTTAATTATACATTTATATAATAAGTCAAATCATACATTTCCACGTGCAACGCACGTGTTGTTTGCTAGTATATATATATATATATATATATATATATATATATATATATATATATATATATATATATATATATTCTTTTTTTTTTGTTACAAATTGTTATTTTTCTTTGCACATTTCAATATAAATTATAACAATATTTAATTAAGTAACAATAAAATTAAAGCTAGGGTTTTTGAATTTTGGTGAACTTTCACAGAAGAGAGGGACGTGCTTTATGAGAAGAAAACATATTGCGATTCACGTTATTTTTATTAGGGATGGCTTTTAAAACTTAAAAGTGTCCAAACTTTTTAAAATTGCAGACACAGTTCGAAAATGGGTGTCCTACTTTTAGCTTAATTACGACACGGCTCGACACGAGTGTCCGAGCCGTGTCCGGAAGTTTTCGAGTGTCCGTGTATCGGATACAGGGATTCTTCACCATCCAGAGGTGTCCGTGCAACATAGCTTGAATCTCCACCTACATAAGTCCAAAATAAGGGGTATCTAGCAAATTTCCCCATTTTTTTTATGAGTTATATTGCAATTGTTTGGGATATTACCAACGTACATATTAATGACTAACCCATACAAATATCTTATCAATGAAATTGATGTTAACTAATTGTCACTAAACATTCATCTTTCACATTAATCGTACAGATTAATTTATAAATTAAAGAATCATATTCTACAAACTTCCAAATAACAACAAAATTGAGCGGATTAATTTGTTAGAATGAATCATATTATCTTTGAAATGGATATTATTGTACAGTAAAAAAGAAGAAAAATTCACAAATCACATTAGTACTTTTATAAGTAGTGTAGTATAATAATATAATATAATTTAATATAATATAATCTAAAATATAGGACAATATATATAGATATAGATAGATTGTGGCTTTTTGTTTTTTTAAATTTAAATAAAGCAAAGCCAAAATAAATTACTTAGAATAAATTCTATTTTTATCCCAATTACCGACACCAACAAATTTGTTCATACTGTGGAAAGATGTAAAATAAAATCAAATAATTACAAAATGTTGAGGATTTATGTCATCCAACATCCACAAGAAATCCAAACAATATCGGATCAAATTTTGTTGTACTTCACACCACACGTAAAAAAGGGAAAGTCAAATGGCCCGAAATCATTGAACTCCTCACACTCAAACAAACGAATCAAATGAGAAAAAACAAGTCTCACATTATCAAACACGAAATCAAAGAATAACATACTCCCCGAAAACACCAAACTTCATCTTGGCCCCGATAGAACCGAAGGAAGCAAACGAGTTGCATCTTCAGAGTCGATTCCCGATATATCGTTCATTACATACCGCGGTGGAGTTAAGAAGTTACTATAGTCAATATCTTTATCAACATCTTTACCACCTTCCAGAACCTTCATCACCATCGACATAGCTGGCCTTTTCGTGTAATCGTTTTGTACACACCAAGCCCCGATTTTCATCATCTCAACCAATTCTTCCACGTTCGACTGCACATCCTCACAATGGAAATTCTCCACAAGATCAAGCCACTGCCCTTCCTCTGCTTTTTTCTTGAAAGCACTCAATAAATGCCTTTCTTCCTCGGGCTTAGATTGCTCGAATATTTTCCTACCACACGCAATCTCCAAAACCACAACCCCGAAGCTGTAAACATCCACTTTCTCTGTAATAACCGCGCTCAGCCACTCCGGTGCAAGATAGCCCGGAGTGCCTCTCATGGTTGTCATAACTTGACTTTGGTCCCTATCGATTAGCTTCGAAAGCCCGAAATCTGCCAGCTTGGCATTGAAATTTTCGTCTAAAAGTATATTTTGAGGCTTTATGTCTAAGTGGATGATCTTTTGCCTGCAATCTTCGTGTAAATAGGCTAATCCCTTGGCTATATCAAGAACGATTTTTCTCCTCGTTTTCCAGTCGAGGCACTTCTCTTGTCTTCCTGTATATATCCATTTTTCCAATGACCCGTTAACCACGTACTCGTAAACGAGAAGCCTGTGAGATTTATCGGCACAAAATCCGATGAGTCTCACCAAGTTGACGTGGTGAATGCTCCCTATACTCTCGACCTCTGCTAGAAACGACTTCTTGATGTGTCCAACTCCGTCGAGCGTTTTCACCGCGATTTTCGTACCGTCTTTCAACAACCCTTGGAAAACCGAACCGAATCCTCCCTCACCGAGTTTCTTGTTGAAGTTCTCCGTTGCAGCTTCCAACTGTTCGTAAGAAAATCTCGTCGGCATCCCGGGTACATGATCTAAATAATCCTCCTCAACTTCATCGGGTTTTCTCCTTTTTCGGTAAACGAAAAAAGCACTTCCGATAACAACCGATATAAAAAGAACTCCAACAATTGATCCAAGTATAGCTCCAACAGAGCTTTTTTTATTTCCCTTGGAATCTGTAGTAGGGGGTACTGTACCTACTGCAGGGGGAGTACTCACAGTAGGGGGAGCACTCACAGCAGGAGGAGCATTAATCTGCACTTTCAAAGAAACCGAAGAATTTAAATTTGTTAGCGCTCGATTGTTATTCATCAAGGAAAAGACGCGTGACGGCAAATAGCAGTCCCCGCCAGAAGGATTAGAACCATATCGAAAGATAGCAGCTCTGCAAGAACAATTCTTCAAGCAAGCCTCTTTACATGTATCCATATTAGTGTTACTAATATCCGTCACAAACTCAAAGTAGTTCACATCTTCCAAATCCACAAACCCGTGATTTTCCGAAACATTATTACAACTAGTACCGAGTGGTTTCACTTCGAGACAACCGAGATCAGGGCGCCTACTGTTTCTCGGCGAAAAGTAGACTTCGTTAGTACCCGATCTCGGGCAGCTACATTGCCCGTTCGAGCAAACTCCGTACGTACCGCAAACCATAGGATAGTTACACACACCGAGAAAGCCTGTAAGAAGATCAGCTACTTCCTTCCATGGTTGTCCCCACTCAACCACCCTCAGATGCCCGTCGGACCCGAATTTAATAAATTGAGCCGACTTAGCATCGGGAATCGGTATCGATAAATCGGGATCGGTTGGTTCGACAGAATTTAAATATAAATCTAAACTCCCATTTCGAAACTTAGCATAACTTAATTCTGTATTCTGTTTGGTGCCACTTAACGAATTTTCGTAGTATACCTGCGGAGGGTTTGATTGGATAGAAGCAACTAAGCCTGTGGTAGTCATTGACAGCGAAAAAAGGCCGGCGTCTGTCCAATTCGTAGGCGAAGAACTCGCGGTCAGATTCTTACCGGATACTAAGATCTGACCTGGGACAAGTACATCGGTTGGGTGATCAAATGATTGCCAGACAACGGAGTTTTTCGAATCGAAGAGAACTAGGTTTCCGGATTCCGTCATGTTTAAGCCGCGCACGGACATTTTACCGGTGTTGGTCGACCACGCCAATGTGCCATCTGCATCTCTCAGGACCAAGTTGCCGTCGGCCGTGAGCTCCAGGGTTGCATTGATTTTGACCGGATTGTTCCGGTTGGCCGACCAGACGACCTGCGGGAACCCTATCGACGGCATAGTGATGCCACCGCCGCTGTTGGTTTGGACGATGAATACGGCGAAGAGGTAAGTGTCGCACGTGCCGTTGCAGAAGAATCCGCAGGCGTATCTGGGGCCGAAAGTTCCTCGGAGAAGGATTGCTCTGATGGTTGAGTTGTCTGAGAAGCTGACCGAGTGACTTGCGGAGACACTGTTGATCCAAGTAGTGGAGAGGTTTGCCGTTGGATAATCCAACGACTGGGATTCGACGCAGGTAAGATCGATGAAGAAGACGAAGAAAGCTACGGCGAAGATGATATACAGAGATGGAGACTTCATCGCATATTTTCTCAATGAATTGTGTGAAAGAGGTTGTGAGAATGTATCTGATACATTTAGAATGACAGCTTTGAGCTTTGTCAATGTCAATGTCAATGATGCTAAGCTTCCATTTGCAATTCCTTTTACTACTAGATCATGGAAATATTCTTTTTTTTTTTTTCTTTTAAATTTTCTTTTAGAATGAGTATGGGAATATTTTAGTATAACAAACAAGTGGTACTAAAATGCAGGGGGTTGTGTTGTATTTATTAATTGTTAAAACATTAAACCACGGTCAAAGAATAGTTAAATTACTATCTAGTAGCCTATATTATATCAAATGAGTTAAATGCAAAACACCCCCGCCCCGCAAAATGCGGAAAGGCCATGTGCAGGAGAAGAGTTTGCGGTGGGTTTTGCAATTGGTTGGAGACTTCGGCAAGCGGAGATGGCCGGAGCTCGAATTGGCGACGACATTGGAGAAGATCTAAACTAATTGCCGGCGGCGTTTTTTTTTTTGTTTTGTTTTGTTCTTTTTTAATTAATTTATTTATATTCAGTATTTATTTCTTTTATTTTGTTTGTTTAAAATGGAACCAGAAAAGCCGAGAGATTCTAAGGGGCATTTATGTCTTTTCACATAACATATCGCACACGCAGTCGCATAGATAGCACGTGAATGACACGAACGAGAGGGAGGGAGTGTATGACTTTGACTAAGACGGGTTCTAGCCATTAATTTTTTTCACAAATTTTTTTTGCACTTTAGAAAGGTGTGCGTGCGTTGCACGCGATATATTAATTTTTCTTTCTATTTTAATCTAATTTGATAGTTAAATTGTTATTAGAAAAATATTTGGTGACATTGATAATTATTTGGTATATAATATTATTTAAATTATTTATTAATTAATAGTAAAATAGATATAAAAATATTCATACGGTTTTACCTATGTATATTCATTATGTATATTCATGAAACTGTTATTTTTTATCATTTCGTTTCAATTATTACAATTTCTGCTCATCATCTTTGCTATCAAAATTTTGAATGATATTTACTTGCTTCTTAGTTAATTTCTTTTTGCATTTGTTTTATTGGAACTCACTATCATTCATCAATTTCTTCCTTATAGCCGAGTGAATTGCGTTTTGCATCTCAAAATTGACACTAATTGACATTTCGAACTCGAATATTTTAAAATTGGCAAAATTCACTATAAATTATATATCTCATAGAAACATGCACTCCACATAAATTCTTGCGATACTTTAACCAAAAAATGAATACAACACGATATTTTAACTTTGAAAAACAAATATCATTCTTGTTTATATTTTATATTTCTTACTTCATATTTTTTATTTATTTTATTTTTATTAAGAATTTAAAAGCATAATTTAATTTATGTTTTTCATAGTGCAGTAAAAAATATATAATTTCAAAAACTTCTTATTTAGATTGAGTTGTAATGTACAAAATAATTTAAATAAATCCTAATTTTCCATAAAATTACATAATATATTACAAAATATCAAAAACATGTGGAACATTGTTATGTTGGGGAAAAAAAAAGGCATAGGTGATGAAAATTAAATTGATTAAAACATAATAAGACTTTAATCAAAATTATTTTGAAGATGTGAAAAATGACCTAAATATCAATTCTAATTTAAAAGATTTTAAATCCGCACGTAGAGTTCTAAAAGAATCTTTCAGCATTACTATTTGATCTCCTTTTTTTTCACTTGTAGCGTATGAAATACGTTTATTTATGGGCTATGACATGTGAATTTCCTACGAGCTCACTGTAATTTAATCTTTTGGAGCAAAATTTCATATGAAAATGTCACTCGAATATATCTATTTAAATTTATTAATTAAATATTATTAAGTATTATTAAAGTTATAAATTTGTACCATATCATAAATAAAAATAAATTGAATAATAAATTACGAATATTTTATGATTTTCATATGTTTTCTGTTTCTGTATTCTCTTAAGTTACCATACATATATAACAATTGTCGATAGAGTAAATTAGTTTTACCCGAGCGATAAAAATACTAACATATAACATTATTGTTATAAATAATAATTTTAATTATTCAAGCGCAAAATATGAGAAATAAACAAAAATATAACTAACATTGAATCTTGATTATGTTTTGAATTAATATATTCAAACAAAAGAAAATGGAACTACATTCAATCTTGTAATGAATTACTTTTATTAAAAAGAATATTAAAAAGAATGAAAAATGAAATTACATTCTATTTTGTATTAAAATATTTTTATTTTTTATTTGTCTAGAAAGTCAAAAATGAAATAGCTCCGAATCTTGATTATAATTTCTAATTAATCTTGATTTTATTTGGTTTATTTTTTATTTGACTCAAAAGTGCAAAATAACAATTGTATTTAGTTAAGCTTCAAGTTTAATCATGAAATCCATACGTAATATTAAGTTCTACATAATTTATAATTATGATGATTAATTTTTAGTAAATAAACTTTTCGTATTAATTAAAAAACTAAATTAAATGAACTTCTTTAATGTTTTCTTTATAGAGAATGATAATTGTAATTTGATTTATTTATTATTTAATTTTTTAATTACTTAATTGACTAAGGTCACTTAATGTTATAATTGAGTAACATAGGGGTATAATAGGCACTATATAAAAGGGAAGAAACCACCACCCCGTTCATGCTTTTATAGATAGTATAGATAGAATAGATAGATAGATAGATAACAAATTGTTAAACACATCCAACAATCATTGATAGGGCCAATGGCATTTTGCCCCCAAACAATCGTGTATTTTTGCACGTTACCCCTTATACTAATGTTTTTTATATGTTTTTACCTGAACTTGTCGAACGCTGCCTTAAAGTTATCATTTCCTTTCAATTCTTGCCGGAATCACTTGAACGTGCGAGGTATGTGAGTTTTTCTTCCTTTTTTGGAGTACAAAAAAAAAATAAAAAAATTAGGGGTACTCTCATTAACAGTGAAGTGTGTTAGAATCCCCTTGATTCTAATTATACGAGAATTTAATAAAACTTGTGCCACAAGTTTGCATATACCGTGAGCTAAAGAAGGGAAGATCGAGTCCTCCCTGTAGCTTTTAATTCTTTTAATTTGTCATTAATTGATTTATAATAGAAATTATTCTTCTTAAAAGTTTCCTAACCCTAATGGACTCTGGTTTTCCTTGTTATACAGTGAATCAAAAAACTTAGGAGAGCATATATACGAGAGCAGCACATGATCGTGATTGTTAGAATCCTTTGGATTCTGACTTTGCAAGGAAATGTGTAAAGACTTGTACCACAAGTCTAGATATGTCGTAATATAAGAAGGGGAGTTTCCTTGTGTTTTAATTCTTTATTTTATCATTAATTGATTAATAGTGGAAATTATCTTTATACAAGCATAACTATCTTTTTTATATTTTATTGTCATATATTGCTAGAGTTTTAATAAATATGGGAATTATTTATTGGCAAAGAAATCTCCTATATCTCTAAGATTTAGTTTCCTACGTGATTTGAGTATTTGTAACATTTTGGTCTCTAACTTTTCCTTGTATAGGGATCTTATGGCGTAGAATATAAAAGGAGAGCAATCTCAGCATAAGGCTTCACGTCTTCTTGGAGAGAAAAATTTACACAGGATATTTTCTTTACGCTCGTTTTTATTGGCGTCTTTTTGGAGAGAAAAAATTTTCTCTTCTTCTTGTTGCCGTTGCGTGCTTTTTTTAGATAAAATTTTTTTTCCTTTCTTTGTTGCTCCTACAACTTTTCCATCGAGAGAAGTTCGAGAGAAAATATTTTTTCTCTCGTTTTTATTACTCCATCGTGATACGTGATTTTCATAGAAAATATATCAGCTTCAAGACTTTGTGGTGAAGACACCAAGATTCAAGGATTATCACAAGTTTGCTTCTTCTATACAAAAAGAATATCGGTTCTTCAGGAGAGGGGCCTAAACAGATATCGGGAGGAGATCCATCCGCCGACTGAGGGATTTAGCGTTGAAGGGAGTTCAACCGAGCGGAGTAAAGGACGTGCTGCAAATTGAAGATTTATAATTCAGCGTAGTATACAAGAACGGCCTCAACAAAGAGGGAGTCTTTGTATTTTGATTAAGTCCTACTATTGTATTCGTAAAACTAAAAATTAGTAAACTGTGCTGCGTCATCGACTTCCTTACACTGTGCTGCGTCATCGACTTACAAAACATGAAATCAATTGGAAACCGCTTAACCTTCATTTAGTTCCCCAAGGCATTCGTGTTCTCCGATATGTGTTCCCCTAACTCCAACATTTATTGGGTTATAACTATACAAAACACCTATTTCCTTAGATGCTTTTGGAGAAATCGGCTGAGTATGGGATTGTGACCCTATAGGTGCCTCATTGTTGTGAGTCAATTTTGTTTTCTTCGATGTTACTTTGATGTGCTGCATTGAAGCATCTTTGGGTATTACACTCACAAATCGTCCACTTGGTTTTCCGCCATATTGACTATTGACTACAGGGGTAACAACAGTAGGTCTGTTTAAGATAATTTTTTGAACATTTTGCTCCTTGAAGCTATTGTGTAATCCAACAGTTCGGTGAATTGGTATTATCCAAATTTGGATTTCTTAGTTTTCTACATAACCCAATCATATGCATAGTTCCCTTCTAATTCAATCTTCTACCACCAGCCATTTTCTTTCGTGGTTCCTACCCATGTCCGTGATGGTAAGGGTTTTGATACATCAATTTCAATGTACATTCTTGCGAACATAGGATTTGTGGGTACCAATGTTTGATCATCAATTCGGAGCACAGTACCCGTCGACGATCCAATTCTTTGTAGGCGAGACGAATTAAAATAAGGAAGAGGCGGTATCTTTTCCAATTTCAAAATCAAGATGCCATATGAAGAGGCGGTATAGGATTTTATTTATAGAGTGAGAGTTGTACGATAAGGCCTTCTTCGTATCTTCACACGTCCCATATAAATGGTGACGTGCCTTGGATCCAGCAAACCCACAACTTGAGCCGAATCTAGTCTCCATTCAACCTCAATATAATTACGGATCTCTTGGTGACTAGGATGCCCAGACGAGAACTTCATAAAAAGTATTTGTTGGGGGCTAAATACCTAACACGCAAGTGCACGTATCGCAAGCAAACAAGTAGTAAAAGTGGACTCGTGAGAGTTGGATGTCGATCCCACAGTGAATACTCAAATTATCTAATCCTAAGTACCAAATTCTAACAATTATGATTTTTATCCAGCCTACGCAAAGTTGTCAAATAAAATCAATTAAACAATTAAACTAATTATGAAAGCAATTAAACACGAGAAAATATCAATAAAAACGGACCTAGAATTTTATCTTCCCCCTATGCAAGAATTGCTCACCCAAAACCCCTCAATTATGAAATACATGATTCATGATTATTAACCCGAGACACTAATTTACTCATAA